TTTAAGAAATTTAAAGAAAGATTACCTTGCATTTTATACTTTCAAACTTTCAGGTAAGAAAATATTTGACAAATTTTTCAGGTGAAAGCACCATGGATCAAGTATTTCTTCAACAACGAGGACCTCAGTGACATCTACCTGCTCCCAGTGTAAGATCTCTGGGAAATTTTAACGTTTTAAACAAAGAGTTCTAGTTATTATGGGTCACTCCTGAAATTTGTGGACATGTTTTCTGTAAAAATTATAAAGGACTGTTTTTGTAGCCCTTAAAAAAATTAGAGGTTTCTGAGTGCTTAGTTACATGTACATGTTCTTAGAAACTGATCAGAAATTTTAAGAGAGAAAATTTCTCTTGTCAGTGATAAATATTTATGTGATATACCGGTACTTGACCATTTACTTGGAGATTAAAAATTTTTTTTTTTTATTTAATGCATGTTTATATAAATAAAGGAAAGAAAGCAAGGACAAAGATGACGATTGATATAATGATGATGCCTTCATCTCATTAGCCTACAGTGCATGCAGTAACAAATTTAAAGTCATTACATTTAACACAATCTGTCATGTTGGTCATATTGTAGAGTTGACAGCGTTGTAGTGGGCGGTACCCACCAGGTCAGCTCGTGGGATCTTCAGCCTAGTGAGGAAGACAAGAAACGCATCTGGGAAGGCGTCTGCAAGTTTATACCTAGCCTCAGGGTGGGTGAACAAATAGTTAGTAGAGATCAACTTCTGACTGTCTCCTCAAGCAGCTAGGGGATGATTAACTTGGAGGAGATGTGTCATCCAGTTGATTTGATTGCATTCCACAAGAGTCCCAGCAGAGTTGGATGATTGGTGTTTTGATTGATTTATTCTGAATGCACCCTTTGAGTGTATACAGCCTATGAAATCCGTTTCTTGGTTAGATCATCAGAACTATTGGAATTTAATTTTTTTGGGTGTGTTTTTTTTTTTTTTTCAATTTAGATCAGAAATCTGATTTTTTCTTGGAATTTACCTTAGTTTGTATGATTATTATATATCTTTAATTGAACAGCTGTGATTTTATTCTCAATGACTTATTAATAAGTTTTAAATCTGATTTTAAACTAAATTTTAAGCTAATAAGTTTATACTGTAATCTGGTTTGCAGCACAAAGATTTTTTTTTTTCAAAAAAAAAAAAATTGTGATGGGATCATATTATTATGGCTTCTATGTATCAGGAACAGTATTTCTAGTCGGATTGTTGTATTGGATTTGAAGAAAAAAAACAAGCTTGAACATAATTCTGTTTGATTTTTAGGGTGCAAAGATAGAGAATGACTTTGTTGGTTTACGTCCCAGCAGGCCCAGTGTAAGACTAGAGCTGGAAGACGTGAACTCTTGGAAAGGGAAACTGACGGTACGTGATAATATAATTAGCGCTTAAACCAGACTTTCTGAGCACTGAAAGCCAAGCACAGGTTGTACATTATTACTAACAAAGCAAGAAAAAAATCATGAAAATTTCAGCAATTTACCCTTAATCACAAACTTCAGGAAGGTGTTATCTAAAATGGCTGAGATGAACTCAACATCTTATTGGGTGCCTATAAGCTGAAAAAGTTAGTTTTTCTTTTTGGATAATAAGTAGTCTCAAACTCAGGGTGGACACTACAGTGATTTTTACACCATGTTAATTATGAGTCCAACAAACTTAAATGAACTTTTTTTAACTCTCTTTTTTTAATAAGATTTATTTATTTGTGTTACTATTGACTTGGCAAAGGTTATACACTCATTGTATATTTGTTTTATCTATACACTGCAGGTGAATTTAGTCTCATATTCTCTAAATTACAGATTGTGCATAATTACGGACACGGAGGAGCAGGCGTCACGCTCCACTGGGGATGTGCAGTGGGTGCGGCACAGTTGGTTGAGGATGCAATGAGGCGACTTGCACTGAAGTCAAAATATTGATTGGATGACCCAGATCAATGTTAGCCATCCTTGAGATGTGATTAATTTTCAGAGAAGTGCTTTGTGTCAAACACATAAACTTGCCAGTTATAATAAGTGGGATATGAATTCAGAGGGGGGAGGGGGGGGCAATGGGGGGTTCAGACTAGGGGTGGGGGGATAGGTAAGCATACCATTGTCTGTAATATGTGAGGCACATGGATTGAAGAAATGCTTTGTCTTGCTTATAGCATGTTGCATTGCTTTTTATGGGGGGAGGGGGGTAAGGGGGTACTCCTGAAGCTAATGGAGAAAGGCATGTAATCCACTATGTCCCTGCTTGGATATGGCATTGGATATGCACAGGGTTAGAGAAAGCAAAAAACTTTGCTTCTACAGTATTAGCACAAAAAAGAAAAGAAAGAGAAAAAAAAAACAAGGGAAGCCAGGTAAGGGGAGTGGGAATGGTATGAAGTGTTTTGTATGGTAAAGACTTCTACATTAGCCATAGTATACAGCACTAGTAGAAGGCTAAGATATTAAAAAGGAAACAGCTTTAAGCATATCACAGCTTTTATTAATGTGTAATGCATTGATTGAATTTTTGACAAGAATAGGATAGCTAGTTTATAGTTTACAGACACAGGTATCGGGCCTGTAGTTTTGGGGGTGGGGTGGGGGGTGGGGTGGGGGGTGGGGGGGCTTTGAACAAGCCAAACTTTTGACCGGAGAAACTTCACTCCTAGACAGTGTTGAATCTAGGTTCTGTGCCATTTTTTAAAAGTTGGGTCAAATATAGTTAGAAGACAAAGGGTCTGTTTTTTTTTTCAGATATGAATTTTTTCCGAATAAAGTGCGTGACTGTTATGCATTTTATAATATTGATAATACTGCCATATGTAATATGGGGATAGCACTTATAATAATAATTATTATTATTTTTATTATAATAATGATGATAAGGAGGAAAACATGAAAGTTCCAGATAATGCAATGAGGTTTTTAATGGTTAGAGGTGGCACATATAATTTGACTGCCTCAGGATGATCAGTCAGGGACATTTTTTCAATTTCATCATATTTTTATAAGTACATTAAGACAACATATTGCCCAATCAACTGTGAAGTAATTGTCTTCCCTTTCAAGAATAATGAGACAAAAGGCTCATAATACACAACAGAAGGTGGAAATTAATATACATTTTCATGGTAGATTAAGCAATTTCCTCTAATAATCAGCAACTTTAAAAGCTATATCCTATCAAAATTTATTGAGACAATTTCGATCTAAAAACTGGTTTTTCAGTTCATAATTTTAAAATTCAGTGGCCAGTGTTATTTGCTTCTCCATTAATTTAGAGTGATTCAAATTAAAAACTTGTATTTCATACATGGGCTTATATATAGTGTTATATTGTCTGTGGTTCTGGATATGGTGTAACTAACAGACAATGTGGGAGATGGTGGAATTTCCATAATGCAGTCATAAGATTTTGCAATAAAAAAGGTACTTTAGTAATGCTTGTGTGAAAAAAAACATATGCAGTGGTGACGGGAGTATCGGACTGGTCTTATGTTATGGTCAGAATCACCAGGCAACAGTAAGATGGTGATAAAACAATTCTATGTTTTAGCTTTAATAATTTACACTTATTTAATTAATGATTGGGTGCAATAATTGTAAGCAAATTTGATTATGTCAGCTACAAAGCAATCTGTGCATATATATGAAAATTCCATATAATCATAAAATTAATGTTTCTGATAGATGTATACTTGTTGTTACACTGTCAGCTCTTTTAAAGGGATGATTTAAAATATATAAATGTTAAGCCCGAATTTTTTTTCCAAATTTATATAAAATTAGTATTATATCAGAAATAAAATTTTAATACACTGTGAAATTTTTTGCATTTATTTTCAGCAAATGCAGAGAAATATCTCAACGGAAGGAACAAAAACTTAAGTCTTGATGATAAGTGGTTTATTCAACATATTCTTTTTTTCTGTTTTCTAACAGGAAGAAATGGGGGAGCCTTAGTAACAGATTTCAACAGATTTTCTTTATGGTCATTTTCTGAAATCTCAGCTTCAAGGTCATTCACATTTAACCTTTAACCTCAATACTTCAGCAGACTGCAAGTAGATGCTTCAACACTAGTTACATGCACAAAAAAAGGAAACCACACATGTACTTTTCCACAATTACCACTTCAGTTAACATTCTACCTTACTACTATATTTCCAACCTCAACTTCTCTGGCAGTGCAAGCTGGCCTCATTAGCACTCAACAGGACAATGAAAAGACACAAAAATATGAACAACCCCCAAACCATTGCCTACTGGCTGACTTGTTGTGCATTTTCCTTTTAGAACAAATTTTTCATGTGAAATTGGTAACTGTCCATACCCCCTTTTTTTCTAACATTTATGCCCCTTCCCAAAGATGTTAAGTTTAAATCATATAATATCATATCAATGAAAAAATTATCATAATGATAATATTCTATACTGGCTTGATTGGAGATATTTGGGTTAAGCCCAAATGAAAAAAACAAATCATATCATTTTCAATAGGTTCTGGCACAAATATTTTAGAATTTGGTGAAAGGTAAAAGAGGTATATGTATAAAACATGTTTTACATGCACAGATTCTGAAATAAATAACAGCAGAGCATTCCTTGAAAAATAAATCAGGTTTATCAGTATAGCTGGTGAAATTAATAATTATAGTCTATGACTAAGAATTTAGAACACGCACACACCATATATTCTATATGTCACAATTGTTCTAGCACCAAATGATCTAGGATCATATTATGTATCACTAAACTAAGCATTATCCCTTTCAACTTTGTTTACTGAAGAAGCAAATACTGGGGATTTCTAGTTTGTGGGAAAATATTGATTATTCTTGCCCTAAAAAAATCTGAGGCATATTTCAAAGAAAACTTTATGGTTGAGAGTACCACCTCATGAAAAGTTTACCTTTTTCAAAAAGTTCTGTTGAAGACTGATTTCTTTTACAATCTGTTAGAAAACTACGATTCTTTTTAACTGAGAGCCACATATATGGTTAATTGTAATATTATGTATTTTATTATTATATAACTGACCATTCTTTACAAGAATATTGTTATGATATAAATGATCATTTTTCACAAGAACATTTTTTTCACAGGAACATAAAACCTGTACAATGCACTGGCAATTGACAATAAACTGTCACAAAAAGTTAATAATATTGAGAGTAAAATTGGGGGTCAATATCAAATAATTTTGAGAAAAGTGCACAGCATTCAATAATAAGCATGTAAAAAGAATCCCATTTAAAGAGGAGATGTCAGTAAAAATTGTTAATTTTAATTCGCAACATTGTGAATTGTCTTGTCCATTTACTTCCTTGCATTTACAATAGTGACAAATTCTGGTTTTAGAGAGGCACCGCCAACAAGAAAGCCATCCACATCCTCTTTTTCAGCTAATTCCCTGCAGTTCTTTGCATTTACCGAGCCTGAAAAACAACCACAGTGAACTTTACTACAAATTCCAGCATGACAAAAAGATTGACTGTATATTCCAAGAAACTTTAAGCTACGAATATTTCATTTACAAAGAATACCCACAAGGCAGCAAGATCAATTTATGAAATGATACAAAAAAGTTATGATTTATTTTCCTGAAAATCACAGCATATAAAATTTAAAAACCAAGCTTGTGTTGAACTTTTTACCTTTGTGGGGTGACCAGGGTAGAAGAATCTACAGACCCAAACAGTTGGCAGCATATTAAATAAATTTGCAGAATTTTATGTCTGGCTTAAACTTTACTGGCATTTCATGCAGGTCATTGTGTTACACAGCTAGGAAATTGTGCCTTTCAAATAAACATACCTCCATACTGAATCCTAACACTGCTAGCCACGGCTGGAGAAACATTCTCCGATAACCACTGGCGTAGTCTGGCGTGAACTTCCTGAGCTTGATCAGGTGTGGCTGTTTTGCCTGTACCAATTGCCCAAACTGGTTCATATGCAATTACCACTTTGTCCCAGTCAGAGACATTATCTGTAACACAGAAAATAAATTTTCTTTAAAATTATAATCTTCTCTTGTTCTCATAGCACTGAGTTTGAAAATATAAATTGTCTTTCTAGGTTATAAACATTTTATTTCTAANGTACTTTTCCACAATTACCACTTCAGTTAACATTCTACCTTACTACTATATTTCCAACCTCAACTTCTCTGGCAGTGCAAGCTGGCCTCATTAGCACTCAACAGGACAATGAAAAGACACAAAAATATGAACAACCCCCAAACCATTGCCTACTGGCTGACTTGTTGTGCATTTTCCTTTTAGAACAAATTTTTCATGTGAAATTGGTAACTGTCCATACCCCCTTTTTTTCTAACATTTATGCCCCTTCCCAAAGATGTTAAGTTTAAATCATATAATATCATATCAATGAAAAAATTATCATAATGATAATATTCTATACTGGCTTGATTGGAGATATTTGGGTTAAGCCCAAATGAAAAAAACAAATCATATCATTTTCAATAGGTTCTGGCACAAATATTTTAGAATTTGGTGAAAGGTAAAAGAGGTATATGTATAAAACATGTTTTACATGCACAGATTCTGAAATAAATAACAGCAGAGCATTCCTTGAAAAATAAATCAGGTTTATCAGTATAGCTGGTGAAATTAATAATTATAGTCTATGACTAAGAATTTAGAACACGCACACACCATATATTCTATATGTCACAATTGTTCTAGCACCAAATGATCTAGGATCATATTATGTATCACTAAACTAAGCATTATCCCTTTCAACTTTGTTTACTGAAGAAGCAAATACTGGGGATTTCTAGTTTGTGGGAAAATATTGATTATTCTTGCCCTAAAAAAATCTGAGGCATATTTCAAAGAAAACTTTATGGTTGAGAGTACCACCTCATGAAAAGTTTACCTTTTTCAAAAAGTTCTGTTGAAGACTGATTTCTTTTACAATCTGTTAGAAAACTACGATTCTTTTTAACTGAGAGCCACATATATGGTTAATTGTAATATTATGTATTTTATTATTATATAACTGACCATTCTTTACAAGAATATTGTTATGATATAAATGATCATTTTTCACAAGAACATTTTTTTCACAGGAACATAAAACCTGTACAATGCACTGGCAATTGACAATAAACTGTCACAAAAAGTTAATAATATTGAGAGTAAAATTGGGGGTCAATATCAAATAATTTTGAGAAAAGTGCACAGCATTCAATAATAAGCATGTAAAAAGAATCCCATTTAAAGAGGAGATGTCAGTAAAAATTGTTAATTTTAATTCGCAACATTGTGAATTGTCTTGTCCATTTACTTCCTTGCATTTACAATAGTGACAAATTCTGGTTTTAGAGAGGCACCGCCAACAAGAAAGCCATCCACATCCTCTTTTTCAGCTAATTCCCTGCAGTTCTTTGCATTTACCGAGCCTGAAAAACAACCACAGTGAACTTTACTACAAATTCCAGCATGACAAAAAGATTGACTGTATATTCCAAGAAACTTTAAGCTACGAATATTTCATTTACAAAGAATACCCACAAGGCAGCAAGATCAATTTATGAAATGATACAAAAAAGTTATGATTTATTTTCCTGAAAATCACAGCATATAAAATTTAAAAACCAAGCTTGTGTTGAACTTTTTACCTTTGTGGGGTGACCAGGGTAGAAGAATCTACAGACCCAAACAGTTGGCAGCATATTAAATAAATTTGCAGAATTTTATGTCTGGCTTAAACTTTACTGGCATTTCATGCAGGTCATTGTGTTACACAGCTAGGAAATTGTGCCTTTCAAATAAACATACCTCCATACTGAATCCTAACACTGCTAGCCACGGCTGGAGAAACATTCTCCGATAACCACTGGCGTAGTCTGGCGTGAACTTCCTGAGCTTGATCAGGTGTGGCTGTTTTGCCTGTACCAATTGCCCAAACTGGTTCATATGCAATTACCACTTTGTCCCAGTCAGAGACATTATCTGTAACACAGAAAATAAATTTTCTTTAAAATTATAATCTTCTCTTGTTCTCATAGCACTGAGTTTGAAAATATAAATTGTCTTTCTAGGTTATAAACATTTTATTTCTAATGTTGGTCTACCTCTGACTTATAACCTCAAGTAAAAGTAGACTAACATTTTGGTCTAATATTTTAGACCAATTTTAGGGCTAAAGTCCTTTAGTTAAACTGGCCCAAGTTTCACAAAAAAACTTAAGTCAGTTCCCTAACTTAGTTGACTAGGATTTCCATGAGAGTGCTGTTACACTGTTTCTGATAGGGTAAGATGTTCCCGTGTGGCCATGTAACCTTGGTAATTAAGTTCTTAGTTTTTTTTTGTGTGAAACCAGGGGCCAGGTCCCAGCCTACATACCAGCAATGGCTTTAGTCTGTCTAAACACCACCTCCTCAGTGAGACCAGCTTCTCTTTCATCCAACTTCTCCCCAACACAAGCTATCACCTTCAGTCCAGACTCCAGGGCATGCTTCACTTTCTCTCCTATCAGCTGGAACAGAAAATTTTGGAATGTCCAACTTTTTCACTAATATTTTATAAAAATTATATAAAAATAATATTTTCTTGAACTATCGTTCAATTCAATAACCAGAATACTAATTTGATAAATTTAAATATGAGAATAAAAATTTCTTGTAATTATAATAATTACTGAAATCAAAATGTTTTACCTGGTCTGATTCTCCAAACACGTGTCTTCTCTCTGAATGGCCAAGAATCACCCAGTCACACTCCACATTTTTTATCATTGCAGGACTGGAATCAAAACAATTAAAACCTTACTTATTCTAAATTAGTAAGGTTTTATACTGAAGTAGCACAAACACTTGACATGACATGTAAATGAACATTTGTAATAAAGTATACCATTATGCAGCAATCTACATGAGAGGTTACAATTTTTCATGTTGAGCAAGGTTATCTTGAAAGCCCAGTATATATAAATTAAGCTACCTTATATATGAAGTTTCCTGGTCAGATTAACAAATACTCATATAAATATTTTTCAGCAATGAGGACGATCTTGGAATGATGAAAAAATTTTACCTTATATCACCAGTAAAAGCACCTTTTTCCACTTTGTAGCAATTCTGTGCTGCTACACCAATCTTTTTGTCCAAATTTGATCTTACGTAATCCAGATAAACAGCTGGAGGGGCCACAACTACCTCTGAAATTTGGATTAACATACATTGAGAAGTTCAAACAGTTATTTAAAGTGAGCTAGTCTGACATTTCTGTTACAGCAAGTATCTTGCATTTTTTTCAGAAACTTTCTGATGTTCAAATGCCAGGAAGGGGAGCCATAACAAAATGTAAATAATTCAGGTTTGTAACTGTTCTTCCAAATGTGAGATTTTGACAAAGATGACCAATCTAGTCTGTGCCACAAACAGTTTTAATGTTGGTTCATTGGGCAACCAGAATCTTAGTACAGTACGTACTTCAATTTAAGACAAGGCAACCTACCGGTGCTTGGATCGAGTTCTCCCTCGTGTAAAAACTGAATGATTCCATTAATGCTTGCCTTGTTTCCATTCATTTTCCAGTTGCCGCCAACTATAAATTTTCTGTTACCAGCCATTTTTGTCGTTATTGTCGTGAAGTGATAAAAAATTGGAAGTCACTGATGCCCTTTTATGTCTGTGACCTTGCAGCCGAGGTTGGAAGAGGTTTGTACACATAGTTTCGATCTTTTTTAAGGACCACTTCTTATGAAGCGCATGTTTATAGTGAAATATTTTAATATGGAATGCAGTAAAAGATAAAATTACATTAACATTTGCAGTACATAGAGTTATAAAATGGTCAAATACCAATCAGAATTACTATACAACAAAGCTGTAAAAATGAGCTTTGTCTGTTTGTCGGCACGGAAGCGGAAATTAGTTTCCCGACATGCAATGGGGTGCCGCGAAAGTTTACATAAGTGACCTACAGACACATGTGCGTTTGTTTACATCACAAAAAAGCAATCAGGTTGATTGTTGGCATTTTGTGGTAAGTGAGCATTGTCACTTTCCTGAAAGTAACATTTCTGGTCTCAGTTAATACTGTTCATATGCGTAAATATAGGACTAAAGCAGACTATACTAAGCTAGGTCACTATCAATGATGGGTAAGATTGTACTTAAAATTAAACCCAAACATACAATGATGCATTGCCTTTTTGTGTAAGCACCTTTTCTTTTATTTCTCCCTCTGTTGTAGATCTATTATCTGATGCATTGCATTCTTTTTATTACCCTTATTTTACTTTAGTAGTCATGTCTTCTAAGTCAACCTCAAAAGGAAAAAGGAAAAGAAAACAAGATGGACCTGACCCCTGTCCACCCTCAACTGGTCATCAGTCCAGCAGCCGAACTAGGACGCTGCGCCAAAGGAAGGACATCGACTATAATGAAAACATCTCAACCACCAAAGTGCAAGCAATCAGTGAAACAAATATTGGAGAAACTGTGCACATTTTGAAGACTGAAAAAGTTAGAAAAGTTGAAGAAAATACTTCAAAGAAAAAAGAGAGAAAGAGCAAAAACTCCTCAACAGTGAAAGATGAGAAGTTGAAAGTTACAAATCAAACAGAGACTGCTGCAGAGATAGACAGAAAAAGATGTATGAAATCTTCAGATGAGGATCAGATTCAAAACAATCAAGAAAAACATCTGCTTGATCAATCTGATCAATTGCAAAATAAACTAGAATCAGATTATATTTCACCCACGTTGATGCCATTTTCCCCAAACTTCAATGAGAGGACTAAATTTCCACTTTTTCAGCCATCAGTCCCTCATTTTACAAATACAAATAACTTTATCAACCACATTCTACAAAGGTCCTTGGGAAATAATTCATCAGTGAAAAAGGTACATAATAAATCCAAGAAAAAGATTATAAATGCATGCATTCTTTGCGTTTTGTCACTTGGACATAGAAATAATAATAATAATAGTTATAGTAATTGATCTAATAATGCCAAAAATGATTTCCCAAAACTGATAATAATTAATTGGTTAAAAAAATGACTAAAACCATTTTGACTTCTGTAGCCAAAATATATTTTAGGAAATGAATTTTTGTCATGTTTGACAAGTGACAAGAAAAGTTTTTGATATAGAAAAATCCATAGAAAACTTAAATATAAAGTAAAGAAATAATCATAAATTTTCAGAGTGTACATCAGCAGATCATTGACAGGGTGACTGATCTGGAACTTTACCGCACAGGAAGTCCATTTGAACGCCGTGTGACCGCCATTGAGTGGCATCCATCATGGCCGCACATCGTAGCTGTTGGAGACAAAGGGGGAGAGATTATTCTGTGGGATATTAACAATGTCAGCAATGATTATTTCATACCAGGAGTAAGTGTATAGGGCTTATTAAAATGGGTCACATTTCTTAAGTGAATGAAGTTTGATCATGCCTATTTTATATATTTACAGACAACCTGTCAGTGAAAACAAATATTGACGAAATTAGTTACAGACAACCTCAGTTTTTAAACAGAAATATTGACAAAAAGGCACTTTGAACCTCTGAGAGGCCAGCCTTAGACTGCTCTGAACAAAATTATTAAAAAATATTGAAAAAATATAAGGAATAATTTGACCTTGCAATATTACAATACTTATATACAAGTTAATTTGATAAATACATAATTTTTTCTCTTAGATGGGTCCTGGAGGGTCCATCCAGGCAATGAAGTTCTGGCCGCGTGACGACAGACGTGTGGTCACAGCCTCCATTGACGGCACTGTCACCTTGCAGGACTTTGAGGGAAAACACAGACAGATAATACTGGACACCATGAACTGTCATGAGTAAGTGGGGGAGGTTGACCTTATTGTACATCATGAGTATGAGTAAGTGATTTTTTCTCATGGGACTGTCATGAGTAAAGGAGATTGTCCTTATTGAACTTCATGAGTAAGCGAGGTTGTCCTTATTGTATATTATGAGTAGGGGAGGTTGACCTTATTGAGCATAATGAGTAACGTTGGGGGGGGGGGGATTGTCTTTATGAGACTGTCATGAGTAAGTGATCCATGATGTTTTGGTTGACCTTTTGAACAGTCATGAGAAAGGTTGAATGACCTTTTTGAACTGGCCAGTAAGGAAGAATTTGCTTTATTTTCTTCGAAGCAGAGTTAAAATTGCCTTCCATTTTTGATCTTATTGGCCTTATATCAATGGTAGCCATTAGAATGCAATAAGTACACTTAGAAAAAAAAATATTTGCATGTCAAAATTTGTGACAATTGTTTTCAAGTATTTTCCACAAAATGTTGTTTTAGGAGTTATTTGAATTATTTGATGTAAATGATGTAATGTGTTTTTGCAGCTTCTGGTACTGTAGCTTAGACGTAAACAAGAGAAGAAGTTTGTTAGTAGCAGGAGAGAATAGTGGAAAACTGGCCTTGACTTCACTGGAAGGGAAAAAGGTCAGTTTGGAATAAAACATTATTTAGTTTTTGAATGTGTGGTATATTCACTCTCTTTTTCAGTTTTACAGTAACATTGGTCAGATCTCTAAAGATCATTTGCTCAGGTGTATCCTTCCCCCCCCCCACCCCTCCCCCAAGTTGAACCTAGCCTCTGTGTGGAGGTGCTTCAGAATTTTAAGCTCATATTTATATACCCATCTTTCATTTTTCTAAAATACACATATCTTTTTTTTTTTATGGCCCAGGTGTTTGAGGCTCGTCTTCACAAGGGTAAGATCACGCACTGTGAGTTCAGCCCACGAGAGGACTGGCTGCTGTGTACTGCCTCCATAGACCACACTGTACAGTTCTGGGACCTGAGGATGCTCAAAGACAGAAAGAGCACTTTGCAGACAATAAACCATGAGAAGGGGGTTAATTCTGGTAAGAAAAGTTTTCATGGCCTGCTTCAGTGTGAAAGGGGCTTTGTACAGTTGTTGATAGAAATGCAGCACTGTACAAGTAATGAGCTTTTCTTTTTGTATATTATTATAATCATTGTTATTTGTATTATAAATTTAGACTGTTGAAGTGTTAAGAACTGCTCATTATAGCATGGTACTGCACGAGCTCAGTAAAACATTATAATGTATAATTATTATTATTATTTCTCACATACGAAAAAAAAAAGAAAATTAAAAAAAAAATTCAGTTCTCAAAAAGATAATAATAGTTTTTAGATTTGTGCTATTTTTCATAAATAATTCACTGCAAATTATCCATACTTTTTTGATGAGAACATTTTTCATCTCTTAGCCTACTTTAGTTTAACTGACAGTTGCCGCCTGCTGACGACAGATCAGCACAGCGCCATCAAGGTTTTCTCCGCGCCATTGTGGGAGTTGGAGACCACCATAGTGCACCCGCACCGTCAGTTCCAACACTTGACTCCTATCAAGGTATTTTTTACATCAGGAAACAATTTAAGCTGTGCAACTAACACAATTTGCCCTTTTCTGATCACTTTTATCTGACTGAAAAGATGATATTGTGTAAAACTGTTATAAAATAGATCCATGAATGTTTGTTATTTACATAGTGTAGCATTATAGTCTCTGTAATGAACTTTTGTCTGAAACATTTTAAGAGGATGTATTTTCCCCATGTATTTTGGTCCAACTTTAAGTTGCAAATAGTCCTCTTTTAATTATAATAATTATAAAAATTATCATCATTATTTCTTTACTATTTTTTCAATCTTTTAGGCACATTGGCACCCACTACAAGATTTGATAGTAGTTGGAAGATACCCAGACCCTAATTTCCCAGGATTCACCACCAGGGAACCAAGGTCCATCGATTTCTTCGAGGCCTCTACGGGAAAATTGGTTTACCAGTTGTATGATCCTGCAGCACCTGGCATAGTTTCTGTAAGTGAAATATTAGATTGTAAATTGCCAAGTGTCTTGGATTAAGTTGGACAATTCTATATATATGTTTTGTATGTGTCTACAATTATTCTGGGCACTGTGTCTGAGCAATCATATTATTTTTTTTGCATGCTTTGTATAATTCAATTTTTTTTTGTTTTTCCCCAAACCCCTGGGTCCCATTTCACAACAAGAATGAAATCTTCAAATGCTATAATCAGATAGCCTGTAGAAAATTGCCTTGCACCATTAGTCTGAAATTTTTGTTTTGAACAGTTAGACTTCTGTTACAGATGCAGAATGTTGACATTGTACCATTGGTCTGAGACTTTTTTAGGAACAGGTAGACTTGTATGTCACATGCCTAACAATGTGGGAATGAGTTTTTTTTTAATTTTTCATTCCAATTTTTTGCCACAAGCCACAATTGTGGGCTTGCTGACAGGTGGTTGAGCAGAAGGAAATTAAAGTACTTGCAGTTTTTCAGGATATTTCCTTTAAAATGCAACCAGCAATTTTTGATTTCCTATATTTTCCTGTTGGAAATGTAAATGAATCCTGGCATTTCAGGAATCCTCTTTATGTTCATGTCAAATAGACTTTAATTTGATTTTTGGCTTTAGAGTTTTTTTCCTGTATTTGCATGATTGAAAATTTGACATGATGGCAAGTGCATGTGTTTGGGAACGTGATTTCTGAGAACCAGTGGGGCATTGGTTTCTGAGAATACAGTCATTGGCCGCATTCGGAACAGTGGACTAACTAGTCTGTGGGTCAAATATGGCCGACCCACTTGAATACTTCCCCACAGGGAATCTATTCAGTGTCTAATAGCGGATTAGATGGCAAGGTTTTTAGTGGGTTACCATATTTGACCCGTAGACTGAATGTGGCCATTGAGTTCTTGTGTTGCACATGATTCTGAATATGCAGACAGTTACGTAACTTCAGTGGTAGGCTTTCTCTATGACCCCATTCCCATAGATTTTAGATTGATCTATCCATGTGGGGAGTCTCACTAGATTACTGTCAGCTTAGTCGGCTTAAGCGTCTGTCCCGCCAGCTAAAAGCTGTAAGGGGGTAATTAACTGTGGTGCGTGCAATTTAGCGTGAACTCCCAGGGAGTTAGGTCGATCTAAATCTAAATCTCTGGATCGTTCTAAATCTCTGGGAATGCACCCTATTTGTGTGTGTGCATAGGTTTATCTTTACTGTACATATTTTGTCAGCTTTCATTAGTTTGTGATTGTAAAGATTCACCAAGTTATTTCATGTGAAATCTGGGGCCTCTTTCAGAAAGCTTGTATTCACTGAATTTGCAAGTGAAAGATTTTGATTTTTCTTTTTACCATTCCGAAAAATATAAAAGAAAATAGCATGGGAACTTAGATATATATATTCAGCAAGAGAACTAGCAAAGCAAGGCCACATGTACAGCAAATAAATTCAGTTGTGACTGATTGACGGAGAAGTACCGTGTAATAAGGAATTAATTTTTTTCTAAAAGTGTAAATTTAAATTATATTCATAAAATTTTATGTTAGAGCTTTGAGAGGCATAGAAGGGTTTGCTTATCTGTGTTCTGGTGTGATTCTCTTTTTGCAAAATTAAAATGATTAACAAAACTAAGTTAATTAATAAATAAATAGATAAATAAATAAATAAATAAATAAATAAATAAATAAAGGATTAAAATATGTCTGTAATTAGAAGAAAAATTCATTGATTTCTGTAAGTGTTACATGCATAGCTGAGTTGTTTGGTTAAGTGTTAACACTAATCTCGTTATAGATCCACTTAATGTAACAGTCAGGCATGAGATCAAGAGCTGCAAGTCAGCAGAAATGTGTGGTCCTTATGAAAGTGTGGTCATTACATGTGATTTCTGCTTTGACAAACATGTAAGACCCCATTTCCAGAGATTAGATGGATCTACTTTAGATCGACCTAACTCTCTGGGGGTTCACGCCTAATAGCTGTCAGCCCAGCGAACACGAAAGTCAATTACCCCCTTAGAGCTTGTAGTAGGCAGGACAGACATTTAAGCCGGATTATCTGACAGTAATCTAGTGAGACTCCCTGCGGGGATAGATCGAACTAAAAGCTCTGGGAATACAGCCTAAAATTGCCCTGTGAGCCAGCTCAGTCAGGACACATTTTGTGACACGACATTTACACTGTAATGACTTCAAGGCAAATATAATCACGATATACAGTGTTTTCATTGGTATAAAGCAAGAACAATTTCCCATGTAAATTGCAGTTAAGGTAGTTATCTCCTAATCAGCACTTCATCAGTTTCAGTCTCTATTATGAGTGACTCAAAAACCAACTTCAAGCCCAAAAATAGGTTTATGATTTATTTTCTTGTTAGTTTTTAAAAATCTGCTTATACGAAGCAAGCGAACTTTTAAAGACTATTGAATGAATATTTAAAAGAAGCACTAACAAAATGTGATTAAAAAAAAAATTACATTAATTAATTTTTTTTTCAAATTTAATTGGAATTTTCTGTCTCCTTATTATGCCAGTAAAAAATGGGAGACGTCAAAGGTAGTCCCTGCTTTATTTTCTAAATAATTTTTTTTCCTTGTAATAATCTCTTAAAGAGATTTTTACAGAAGGTAGTCATCTAGTCGCGAGGTCCGATGGCAAGCACATATTCCAAAATAATTGTGATAACTGCTGTTTTGGTGGAAAAATAGAATTTATTATTATTCTGTGAGTAATTAACAATGTATTTACTGTGAAAAACGGGTCTCATATGAAGAGCTTTTATCCCTTTATCATAACATATAGCCATCACCCATGTTTCTGTCAGCGATGCAGCTTCCATGCACTTTCAGAGATAGCGCAATTTGTGGAAAACCATTTTACCTGTTGCCTTCAAACTTACAGAACTGATGAATATTCATAAAATAAAACTCAAGTTTGAAAATCAGCTTGATGGAACCATAAGCCCATAATTGCTAAATGAAATTTATTTTGAATTTACTAACTGTATAATGTCTGTATAGGCTTTGCTGTCTAGTTTGGTGTAAGATAGTATGTTTTGATATGAGTTTTACTGTTATTCATAGGTAGATTATTAGCTTTTAATACTTTTAAGTGACTAAACAGAGAATATAATACCCAGCATGCCCTGGTTCATATAATACCCAGCATGCCCTGGTTCATATAATACCCAGCATGCCCTGGTTCATAAGGGAAGAACTTGAAAGTTGCAGCCATGGATCATGATACAGCCATTTTCATAAATATGTTTGCCACACAGTATTTTTCTGTGAGTGACCTTTTGCAGATTACACAGGCAATCCCTGTGGTTGTAACACAATACTTTGTATAATGTCTGAAAACAAGGAGATTGAATTGGCATTTCCATAAATATTGCACGTGAAGAGACACTTTTGAAGCAGAAGATACTATTCAAATTCAGCCAAACTTTGTTTTTTTATGAGATGTGCAATATTAAAAGAAAAAAAAAATAAAAAAGAAAGATAACAAGCTGATTATTTTAATGTTGTTCAGAAAATGAAATGTCTACAGAATGGATATAAAACTCAAAAGATTTTGCCTTGATAGTTTTATTAGAATTAAAGGTCAAAAGAAGAGGAATTGGAAATACTTGTTTTGGCTTCTTTTTTTTTTTTTTAAACTTTTCTACAAACAGTCTTGATACTTAATACAGTATATGATGTTTGCAGAAAGGATTTAAAAAAACTCTTTCTTAGGGCGTATTCCCAGAGCTTTTAGATCGATCTATCCCTGCGGGGAGTCTCACTAGATTACTGTCAGATAATCCGGCTTAAATGTCCGTCCCGCCTACTACAAGCTGTAAGGGGGTAATTAACTTTCGTGCCTGCTCAGCTGACAGCTATTTAGCATGAACCCCCAGGGAGTTAGGTCGATCTAAAGTAGATCGATCTAATCTCTGGGAATGGGGTCTTACTTTCTGCTACAGTCCCAGTCAAACGGTAAATCATTCAGGCTGGATTTTATTTTATTTTTAAAATCTAAAGCTTAGGCTGTATTCCCAGAGCTTTTAGATCGATCTATCCCCGCGGGGAGTCTCACTAGATTACTGTCAGATAATCTGGCTTAAATGTCCGTCCGGCCCACTACAAGCTGTAAGGGGGTAATTAACTTTCATGTCCGCCCGGCTGACAGCTATTTAGCGTGAACCCCCAGGGAGTTAGGACGATCTAAAGTAGATCGATCTAATCTCTGGAAATGGGGTCTTAGAGTCATTTAGAAAGATGCAAAACTGTTAAGGAGCCTCTGAGCTTACACCAATAGAAGGTTTATAACCCCTTGATACTGGGAAGCATGTCATGTTAATCTGTTAATTTGATTGTTTTCTGCAAAGAGATAAATTAATATTTCAGTGTTAATCTCTTTAACTGATTACATTGGGCAGAAGACCCCTGTAGAGTGCAATCAACCTAACTAGGTCAACATGTTCTGAACAGCCCATTGGCAGTGGTTTGGACAACTGAGGATGTAGATATTTAAATTTTCATCAAGAGGATCTCATCATGAGCAGACAATTAACCTTTTTAAATATTTTAAAATATAGTAAAATATTGAAATAGTTTTGTCACTTAAAAGTTAACCCATTTCTGATGTTTTCTTTAAAGTTTCATCAAAATCCGTTTTTAACTTTCAGCAAAATGTTGCCAACAAACTGACAGACTAACAGAACCAGAAACAGTGATAGGCCTTTTAACTTAACTCAAGCTGTATTTGTTTCTGATTTTATTTTCTTTATTTATTATTATCATTTTTTTTTTGTTTTTATGAACAATCATTAGTCTGATGTATTTCCTTTGAGTTCTTATACAATAAAAAAAATCTGTGCATCTTCCTGCCTACCAGACATGCCATATTGTCTCTCTCCTGTGCATAGTACAACAGTGCTAATTTTCTTCAATTCTGCATAAAATGGGTTATCACTTTAAAATGTTTCTTACAAAAGCACCAAGTCTTATGATAAATAATAT